GTATATATACACACTGAAATATTATTTAGCCATAACAGTGAATGAAATCTTTCCATTTGTGACAACAGAGATGAACCTTGAGTGTATTATGCTAAGTGAAAGAAATCAGACAGAGAAATACAAATACCTTGCTTACATGTGGCATCAGCAAATAACAACAAGCTTACAGATATAGAGAACAGGTTAGTGGATGCCAGAGGCAGCAGTGGGTGAGGTTGGAGAGTTGGCAAAATGGGTGAAGAGGGCAAAGAGGTACAAACTTCAGGTTATTAAATAAATAAGTCATGGGGATGTAATATACAGCATGGAGATTACAGTTAATAATACTATATTGCACATTTGAAAATTGCTAAAAAAGTAAATCTTAAAAGCTCTCATCATGGGAAAAAATTGTAACTGTGGTGATATGTTAACTAGACTTATTGTGGTGAATGTCTCATAATATATATCAGTATTGAATCAGAGTGTTGTATGCTTGAAACAAATATAATGTCATATGTCAATTATACTCAGTAAAAAAGATTATTTTCAATGCTATGTTTTACCCTTTGGATATATGAATTATCTTCTTCAATCTTATTTGGAATACAAAATGGGCACTTTTTGAGGTGGTTAGCTGTGGCTCAGTTGGTTAAGCATCTGATTCTGGGTTTTGGCTCAGGTCATGATCTCATGGTTTGTGAGTTTGAGTCCCATGTTGGGTTCTGTGCTGACAGCTCAGACCCTGCTTGGGATTCTTTCTCTCTCTCCGCTCCTCTGCCATTCATCCTCTCTCTCTCTCTCACTCGCTCTCTCTCTCGTTCTCAAAAACACAAAACATTAAACAAATGGGCCTTTTTTGCAAGAATTTTCTATTTTTGATTAGGATAGCTCTGTTATATTTATGAATGTTTTTTATTAATTGTTTATAATTACCCTTATTTATATTTAAATATAAATTTATGGTTTTCTGGGAATTTATTTCATAATACAGAAACTAAATTATCCAAATTATCTTGTACTTGCTGTTCAGGAGGTAAAAATTATATAATTGTCTCTAATTTTGTTTTATTAGATGGTGGTGAGCTCATCACTTCATGTATAATAGTGATAAAAGCAATAGGAAATCAAGGCAGTTTGGATATTCTGTGTGGTTTCTTTCTTGCATTCGTTTGTGTGAGCATACCAGTGAATGTGCTGTCTTATTATCTGTCTGCCTGCCCTTGTTCTAGGCTCTTCATCTGAGGGGTTAGCTTTTCAAAAGTGAATTCCAGTGTGATGAATAATGAATGAAGTACTAGGAATATTTAGGGGTTTCATTATGTTACAGAAGAACTGAATTATTTTGTTTTAATTTCATTTCATTTCCATGTTGATTCTGAGAGCTTTCTTTTTTTTCTTTTTGAGGTAGGGGGGACTCAAGTGAGAAAAGGACAGAGAAAGAGAAAAGCAGGGCTCACACCATGTGGGTCACGAACTTGAAGCAAGGCTCAAGCTCAGAGCTCATCGGAAGCAGGGCTTGTGCTCACCCAAACTGGGACTCTGATCCCATGAAGAGTGAGATCATGACCTGAGCCAAATTCTGATGTTCAATGACTGAGCCACCCAGGAGCCCAGATTCTGAGAGCTTTCACTCAGTGTAGAGTGGGGCATCCGTTTTCTCTCTACTACTGCCTTTTTTAGAAACACTTTAAAGTGAAGTCTCATCCTTCAGAGAACTCAGTCTGTAGTAAGTAAAGTGTGAATGTGAACATTACATTCAGTGTTACCCCACACTGAGGCCCACTTTTTAATTGAAACATATTTTTCCTCATGCTAAAAAATTAAGATATTATTATCACAGGAACATTTCCATTTAGTACCTTCCTTTTCTTGTTTGGACAAATCGGATAGCTATTTCTTCTCAGCGCAGTCGGTCTCTCTCTGCTTGCATTATATCTCGGGCACTCTGCAAAGGCTCTGAATTAAAAGCCACCTGGGTTTTACGTTGTTACTTCTTTATTATATGTTAGTGTTTGTTTGATTTATTTTTGCACGAAATAAGCATCTACCTGAAGACGTATATAGTCACCTTAAAATTTCACAAAAATATTTAATTTTCAAAGTACATATTTATAATTTTATTACACATAAATAATATGCAAATGCAGAAACTTTCATTCTAACCATATTAAAAGAAGTATGCACTTTTAGAGTATTACTTTCTCTAAGGAATCTCCCCCTTTTTTTTTTTTTTTTGCTAATTTTGGGTGTTTGTTTCATCAAAAAGTAAGACAAATCAAAAGAAATTTAAACCTAAAGCCAGCTGCTACAATGCCTGGGGTAAGGTGTTAATAGCTTACTTGAAGTGATAAAGTCTCAACTCTTTAAATATTCATCTGAAGAGTGATTTTAACAAACTTTAGACAAAATGCTTAATATCTGGGCTATTTGTGTCTTATTTTGACTTCGCTTGGCGCCGAGCAAAAGCTAATCTAACCAGATATTTCTTCAGGTTTGCCTGCGCATCGAACTCCAGTGAGGCACACAAAACAACATGCATCTGAGAAGCAGATGAACTGCTCTGCAAACCATGTGCTCTGTTTGTAACAGTGCTGTCAAATTCTCAGCTCCCTGCATCAGCGGGTGGTTTATAATTTTGAAAAAAAAATTAATAAACTTACTTGAATGTGTACATAATTTATGGTATTTCTTTTACACAGAATCTTTTATAAATAAAATAGCGGCCAAAAGTTAAGAAGCAATGTAATATTTTATTAATTGTGAAACCAAGTGAGGCTGTTGATTTCACATGTCCTACTTTCTTTGAGACAAATACTCACCCAAATCCATTTTGTAACGTCTCACAGAATAATTTTAAATATGTAATTAATAAGAAACATGGATTTTTATTAGTAGTAAGATGTCTGAATTTTCTCCTACTTAATGGTAATAACAGAATATCAGTGCCTCCTTGTTAAGACTGTGCATGTTGGGGCAGCTGCATACCTCAGTCAGTTGAGCATCTGACTCGGGCTTAAGTTATGATCTTCCGGTTTGTGAGATGAGCCCCACATGAGGCTGTCTGCTGTCAGGACAGAGCCTGTTTCAGCTGCTCTTCCCAAACTGTTTCCCGTTCCCCATTCCTGCTCTCTCTGTCTCTCAAAAATAATAAATAAACATTAAAAAAGAGTATAAATATCAAAATCCTCAATGTAAATATCTCAATGTCATATAAGCAGAAACAAAATACCAATTTGAATCTCATTAATATATTCCATAGAGAAATAGTATTTTCTTAATTTATAACAATAATACTTATTGTCATATTGAGTATGAGATAGACACAGTTATTTATAACTCTTTAGTCTTCAATATATATATATATATATTTAATGTAATGCATTCTATGTATTTTATTCTATAAATTTCATGCCACGTTTATTGTGGAAATAACAAAACAGTATTCTATTATTAAGAACAACTCGGGGAACCTGGGTGGCTCAGTCGGTTAAGCATCTGACTTCGGTTCAGGTCATGATCTCACGGTTCGTGGGTTTGAGCCCCACGTCAGGCTCTGTGGTGACAGCTCAGAGCCTGGAGCCTGTCTTCGGATTCTGTATCTCCCTCTCTCTCAGACCCTCCCCTGCTCACACTGTCTCTCTCTCTCTCTCAAAAAATAAATAAAACATTAAAAAAATTAAAGAACAACTCTTATTTATGGATCTTGGGTTACATGACTATATTACAAAATATAAATGAGTTCTAAGTTTTAGCAAGCAATCTTTTTTGTTATGGTCAACCACTAATCCAACAGTATTTCCCTATTTAATATTATCTATCTGATAATTGAGAGTTTGGACAAGGCAAGTGTTGAAATTAAAAAGAAAGCTCTTGTATATGGAGAGATATTTTAGCGACACATTCATTCTAATTTTTAAAGACATCATATTTCATGTAATTATATGATGTATTTATCAATTTATTGAATCACAACTCCACATACATATATTTCATTGGTGCTGCAATAATATAACTTGTCCCCCTAAAGACTTTTCCTAGAAGACTGGAGAAAAATTGTAAAGTGGAATCTGAACAACACAGTTTAGCATCTATAACAGACCTCATTTCAAATTTTAGGCAGCAATAAGGAGAAATGTATGAATGAGAAGTGTTTGTGTGTTGAGGCACCTGGGTGGCTCAGTCGGTTTAGAGTCCAATTCTTGATTTCAGCTCAGGTCATGATCTCACAGTTTGTGAGTTCGAGCCCTATGTCGGGCCATGTGCTGACAGTGTAGAGCCTGCTTGGGATTTTCTCTCTCCCTCTCTCTGTCTCTCTGCTCCTCTACTGTTCTCTCTCTATCTCAAAATAAATAAATAAACTTTTTAAAAAAATTTAATAAGTGTGTGTGCTGGATCTCTTTTAGGGCTTATTCTGCAATACAATACTCTCCTTGGGTCTTATTATCCTGAACTTACTAGTATGATGACTCCACTTAAAACAAGTTGCTTAAAATATATATTTATTCTGGCTATTCAATTGTCAGCTGAAAATTGGAAGGGGAGGTGATTACTTAGTGAATGAAAAGCTAATACATAGTGTAAAACAGCTAGCTCTATTTACCACAGCCTATAAGTAAGAATCAATGTTGAAATAACTTCCCCACATGTAACATCACCATGTATTAAACCCTTATCTAAATATTGACATCGACCCATATTTATTTTCTTTCGACTACACACAATTACCTTTTTATAATGAGTATGATGGATATATGAACAAGCCAAAGATTTTCATCAATTATACTGTCAACACTTTACCCAGAGTTAAGCACCTGACAATACCAAGTAATGATTACATTATATCATATTTCTCTTACTTAATTTACTGCAAACATCAATATTTTGGTGTAATTAGGTGATACCTTTTCCTTTCCATTTCATATTTGAGAAGCTGTAGCTAAGATAGTCTACCTTACTTACCCTGTGTGGAAAATAGCAGTTTCTAGAAACTTTTTTCATAATTACACATTTGTTTTAGATTTCTTTAAATCATGAAATATCAAAAGAGTAAACATTGGATTTCTTCTAAACCAAACTTTTAAATGAGAAACTCAATTAGCAATAATTGCACCTCGGATAAACCTCATTGGCTATGATACTGCCACTGCGCAAAGCTTAAATGAGAAATTCAAAATCAACTTTATTAGAATTTAAATACCACATAACCAAAGACTCAGATTTTGTTAAGACTTATTATTTACTTAAAGAAGTTTGGTGCAAAACCAAATTTCTTGACAGAATAAAGTAATGATTTAAGTCAGGGAGTTTTGCTCAAAAGAACATAACTCTGTGTCCATTAGAATATCTGAAGTTGTGATTGAATATAAACCTTTAGAAGAAATTTATCATCAGTCCAAGAAATAACACTGTAATAAGCTTGGTCATAACTGATATGGTTCTAAATGTAAGTAAATTCTAGAGACACCAGCAAATTCAAATTCTTAATATTATGTTTCATAATCCACAGGAACTAGTTAATTTCTAAGTATCAATTTCTTCTGATCTTTCTTGAATCAGATGCCCTTTCTTCCTAGAATCAGGTTTAGCCAGAGGGAGGAGATTTACAAAGCTGAGAAGGGGCCGGTTCTTGGTACACAGGTCAGTGAAAAGGGTTGCAGCAAAGTTGACCTTAAGACAATCTATAACAAGCAGTTTACATTGCAGCACTATATTGTTGTATTTTTACCCTATCTAATTTGTGCCAATGAAATCATATGTTGTTAATTGGGTAATGTATTCAAATAAATACTAAATGTATTTAGAACACAGAATAGAGTTGAATCTCATTATTCACAGTAGTTTTGTTCCAAAAAGTTCCTGCAAACACTGAATTAGTGAATATTCAACCATTGCTTCTGGGTGAAATACAGGGTTAACTTCCTGGGAACCTCTGGTCATAACTTTGACAACCAATCAATGAGTAAACTTGTTTTGTACGTGTTTCTGTTTAGATGCGCGCGCACTCACACACACACATTTGGTTCATTTACATTGAACTCATGGCCAGTGGCACCATAACTCATGTGTAAATTAAGTTTATTGAACACACATTTCTCCATAAGGCACGTCACAGCTTTCTTGAGCTTAGAGAAAGATGCTAGACAACACTTCAGCACTACGCATGGGTTTCATTTTAAGCAGCAAAATCACTAACAAAAAATACAAAAATGTAGAAAATGTGGCATTAAATACACCATGAAAAGGACACTTGTGTAAAGTACAAAAGCTAAAGCAAGAAAGCAGAGAATTACCTTGTTTCTCCTCTGAATATATACAAAATTTACACACACGGGTACCACACACACACACACACACACACACACACACACACTAATTACTTTGTAAAATTAGAAATATGTATAAAAGTGTTTCTGCCATCTTCACATGATGGACTAGTAATATTTTTCAGTAAACCAATTTATATGGACACAAGTAGTAATATATCAATTTATGGATATTTTCACTCCTTAAAAATGCCTCATTGATTCAATTAGTAAAATGCATTATTTTTCCTTGTGTGTCAGCATATTTGTTACAAACTAGCTGAGTAGTTTTGCCAATTTACTCAAGATGTTGGATATTGTTTCATATATTTGGAAAAGGCTTCATTTTTGAGTAACTAATAATAAAACCAGTACTTAACCAATAGAAAGTCTCCCCTAATTCAAGTGCCGTCAAATGTTGGGGCTGCAATTGAAAAGTGCAATCCTTAGTCTTTTCACTTGTGCTTTGCTATGATTGCTTTCATTGAGTTTAAGGGGAGGCAAAATCCGAGTCTGAAATTACAGTGTCCAAACAGGCAAGGTGAAAGAAGACAGAAGGAAAGAGCGGAGAAGTCCAGAGTGCAAAGCAGGCATTATCCGATTTGCTTTTTCTTTGCAAGTTTGTGATTGGTGTCTTCACAGAGGGTTTTCCGTCACATACTGAGAACTCTAATTAAGAGAGTTATCTCCATTTGTGCTGGCTTGAGGGGGCACTTCAATCAAGTAGAACCTGTTGAAGTGCGAATAGGAAGAGCAGGGGAAGTCAGACTGTCATCCAGAGAAGTAGGTTGGCTGTCAGCCAGGAGGCATCACAGGATGGACAACTTTACTCTGGCAAAATGTCCTCAACCCGATATGGAAACTTGAGGCAGAAATCAGCTTTTGCCAGCACAATGGAGCTGGATCTGTTTATTAGAGGTAGACTGACTTAACCGGAGCTCTCAGAAGCTGATAGAAAAGTTCAAAGGTCAATTTATAATTTTGCAATGAGGAGTATTACTTACTTCTGGTCTGATTAATATACTTTCTTGCGATGGACTTGTGTTAAGGTTGACATGTTTTTCAGGAATCGCATGGTAGTCCTGAAATCTGAATAAGGGGGGATTTTTAATAATAATAGCTTCTGAGATCCTGACGTATCTATCTCCTCAGTAGAATATAACTGTCTCTAAGACTAAAGAGATCATGCATCTCATTAAACTACATGAATAAGGCTGGCATTATTTTCTTCTCTTTTTTTTTTATTCTGATCATTGATCAGTCTTTCCAACTGACACAGCAGAGAGTATCGCTGGTGTTAGTGATATTAACATTGCTCTATCTTCCCAAGAATTTGGAGACTAGGCAACACTGTAAAAAAAAACACAAACATTAAAAATTAGGCAAATCTGACACCACAGAAGTTATTAGCAATCTGCGTCATAACCAAGAGTTTATGTACTTCTGTAGGCTAAGTAATTCAGGAAGGCTCAAATTACAGTCATGACATTCAGGCAGTAATCTTTGGAAATTGTTCTACTAATATTTAATTAATTAATTTTTCCATTTTTTACTTTTATTTTGGTGGATTTTAAGTTCACAGAATTCGATTAATTCTACTTACATTCATCCTTATTTCATGCAGGCTGATATCTAACTATCTACTATCTATCTATCTATCTATCTATCTATCATCTATCTATTATCTATCTATCTCTATTGTCTATAGTAAAAAAAAGGGTCATATATCTGAATATTGGAACAATGACAATAACTTAGGACTTAATCACTTTTGTGTGCTTTCCCTGAGTCCTCCATTTTTATCATTCAAACTTCGCTCTCTCCATTCTGAATCATGTGCCCATTACACCCTGGCTTTTATTTTTATACGATTTTATATGAGTTGATGATGCCTATATGTATGTCTATATGTATATATGCCTATATGTATGATGAGAGGACACGAGAGATATTTCAACCACAGCAGTGAGGAAGCCCCTGAAGAATGACCAGGCCTCTAGTGGTGAGAGCAAAAGAGAATGAGAGAGCAACTGTTTTACCCACTTTAGCTTAGAAAGGCCTCATAAATATCTTTGCTCTGATTTCAAGCTCACATCACAATCTAATAAATTCTTAGTAGGTTCCAAGTAAATTACTTAGAAATAAGAATGTTGTAAGAACTTTACAGAATGTTTTGTCTAACTAAGTTAGCATGTCTTGTTATAAATCTGGCAGACACTGTGGTTATAATCCCTAGAGGGACAGAATACACAGATAGTTTCATTCCTTGAACATTCATGCTGGAGATGCGATTATTGTGTTGAAAGCTTGGTATGAAATTAAAATATCTTTCAGTATATTTTAAGTTAACAATTAACAATCAAAAATCATTTTCCAGGCTTGTTGAAAAAAAATAAGAATTAAGATTCAGAATATTTAAAAAACATGGGCTATTGGCTTGTACTCAAATCCAAACTATGCCACTTAGAAGTTATATGTGCTTTCTGATTCACATATCAAAATCTTAATTGTTTTTTAAAAAATTTTTATGTTTATTTATTTATTTTTGAGAGACAGTAGGTGGGGGAGGGGCAGAGGGAGACAGAGAATCCCAGGCAGGCTTCACACTGCCAGCATGGAGCTCAATGTGGGTCTTGAACTCACAAACCATGAAAGCATGACATGAGCCAAAACCAAGAGTCAGATGCTTAACCAACTGAGCCACACTGGAACCTCTCAAAGATCTTAATTGTAGTAACTTCGCAAGTTCTTCTTGAAATTAATGACTATGCCAGAAGTACCTCCCCCAGTCCCTAACACTAACAAATGCTCAATATATAATGAGTTTTCTCTTTTTCTTCTTCATTGCAACGTAAGTTCTTTCTCTGCTTTTTCAACACGCCAGCTCATATGTTACTTCTTTAAATCAAGTTCAATTGCATGCCAATAGAAAATAATTGTGGTCAAAAACTCCTATAATACATTCATTAATATGGGATATATTGTGTTCAAGACAATGTAAAGGCCATCTTTTCTAAGTACACTTGTGGTCTTTAAGACCACATCACTGAATCGATCACTTGTGACAGACTCCAATTACTCAAACAACTTGCTTCTGTGGAGTACCAGCTCTGCACACATATTACACCAGGCAATCTGCAAGCCCATATGTATAAGTCCTTAATAATATTATCCTGAATTTCTGTATCCAGAAGGGCCATACACCATAGTCTGGAATCTGCAATGACAAAATGAGTTAACATTTCAGCGTGTTATATTGATCTCCTAGGCTAATCACCTAATCACTAGCATTAATCAGACTTAAAGACATAATTAAGAATGTAGATTGATTCTTAGGAGACAATTGTTAAAAACTAAAAGGGAAAAGCTGTCATGAATACAAAGTATAAATATCAGCAATAAAGGCAGTTGTGGGATGAGTTGACCCTTACAACTTCAACACAAATTCTGCCTATTTTTTAAAAATTTTTAAAAAATCTTTATTTAATTTTGAGAGAGAGCAAGAGAGAGACAGAGCATGAGGAGGGTAGGGGTCGAGAGAGTGGGAGACACAGAATCTGAAGCAGGCACCAGACTCTGAGCTGTCAACACAGAGCCTGATCCAGGGCTTGAATTCATGGACCACAAGATCATGACCTGAGCCAAAGTCAGATGCTTAACCAACTGAGCCAGCCAAGCACCCAAATTGTGCCTATTTAATCTATGTTGTAGGGGCAAATTTTTTGAGAACAATGCAATTTGTGTCACACTGTTATAAGGAATTTTGTTTCCAGAGAAACAGCCCTAAAACATTTATTTTAAGAACCATTAAAAATAAATGCTGTTCTGGGACACCTGGCTGGCTCAGTTGATT